AGATTCACCTACGTGGATGAATTTCATACATACCTTGGCTTTTTACAAGTTTATTTTGGATCTCCAGGCATGTTTCCAATAATTGCTAGATAAATGAAACATCACTAGAAGGCATACAATCTGCCCACCCTCAAAGGTACAACTCCATAGATATCCTGGACACATCATGGCCAAATAAAGACATAATAGACGTTGATATAATTAGCAATTTATGGTGAATACAAAATGTCCCTGCTGAGTCAGTGAGTATAGCCCAGGATATGGCCTCCCCCCATGTCACAGCATGTTGCTGGACACCAGTCACAAAGAAGCATGCCCTGCCTTGCCCCTCCTTCCCCTCACTTCAGTACACATTATATTCTACGAGATGTAAAATGCTGCAACCCACATTCAGTCTGTGTTTGTAATGTGTCCTTTTCTTTTCCCTCACATATGGCATTTTGAAACAATTACATAATGAGACATATTATCAGGGCATAACTGTCAAAAATGAAGAGACTGAGCTGTGAATAAATATTACCCACTTATTAGCTGTGCTGCTCCTGTGTTCTCAAATCTGTACTTTATCCCTGACTCTTGGGGGTATACTTTACCCCCTGATTGCCTGTGTAACAAAATGGCCCTGCACTAAAAGTATTCAGAAAAACATTTACAAAGTCCACGGCAAATTAAACTCTAAAGTAGTGTTTCTTGTCATATTTCTGTTACAGTCTGGTGAAATCTACTGAATATCTTCAGAGCATGTTTTAAAATTCATAAAAATATATAGGATAATGAAGGACACCACTTATATTGAAATACTGTTAAAGAGTCACCTGACCCTGTGTTAAGAACGTTGCTCCAGGGGTGCCTGGGTGGCTCAATTGGTTAAGTGTCTTACTCTTGATTTTGGCTCAGGTCATGATGCCAGTGGTTCGTGGGTTTGAGCCCTGTGTCAGACTCTGCGCTGACAGTGTGCAGCTTGCTTGGGATTATCTCTCTCCCTCTGTCTCTGCCTCTCCTGTGTGCTCTCTCTCTCTCTCAAAATAAATTAATTAAAAAAAAAAGAATGTCGCTCTAATATGACTCAGTTTTTGGTTGTTTCATCAAGTTCCTTCCCTCTGACGCACCTCTTCTGGACTTTCTGTTTTAAATATGAAAAAAATCAAATATGGCAGATTCTCTTAACTCTGTTACCCCCATAGAGCCGTTTGGAAAGACATTTAACTCTTTAGAAATGCAGTTTTTCCCACTGAGTGAAAGCAGTATCTTCCTCAGGATCAACACATACTTCCAAATACCAGGATGTCAGGAGGTCTCAGTACTCAGTGGGTGATGCTCACAGGTGGAGCTAGCTCTTCTGGATCTACAGGTCTGGTTGTGATTCATGCCTACCTGTGTATCATCTCCCTTTTTTTTTTTTCTCACGCTCAAAAGTCCAACCAGAATGCAATGACTGCGCATATTGTTGAACATTAAGCCTCTCGTTTTTTTGTAACAAAGTTATTTGGAAACTTTGGTATTTCACGATGCAATAACAAATTGATTATGAGAATCCTCACAGTACAAAAAGGTGGTGAGACTCCATGGTTGAGACTCCATGATTTTACTCAGGGACACATACACTGAGGAAGGAAGGATGTTCGGCCTTTCATTCAGGTCACTGTGATGCCATTTAGCATTTATAGTGGCAGTACTGAAGTGAAAATCTCAATGGCCTAATTAATTATATGTTTCTCTTGACTAGAGGTTGACACTTTTCTCTAAAGGTTCAGATAGTATATGTTTCAGGCTTTTCAGGCTGTATGGTCTCTGTTGCAAATACTCTGCCATTGCAGTGTGAAAGCAGACACAGACAAAAACAAACAAACAAACAAACAAACCCTAAAAGAAACAATGTAGCTGCGCTACAATCAAAGCTAAATTATGGGGATGCCTGAGTGGCTCAGTCGGTTGAGCATCTGACTCTTGATTTCATCTCAGGTCATGTTCCCAGGGTCATGGGATTGAGCTCCACGTTGGGACCCACACTGAGGGTGGAGCCTGCTTGAGAGTCTGTCTGCTCCCTGTCTCTCCACCCCTCTCAAAAAAAAAAAAAAAAAAAAAAAAAAGACAAAAAGAGCTAAATTATGAACACTAAAATGTTGATTTCATATGATCTTCAGATGTCACAGTATATTATTCTTTTTAAATGTTTTCACTTTGTTAATGGATAAAAACCATTCTTAATTAGCAACCCACACAAAAACAAGCAGCAGGCGAGACTTGGTCCATGGGCTGTAGTTCGCTACTTCAACTTTTATGTATGAAATCAATAGCCAGGTAGCAAACCAATTCAGTAGGTTTATTTGGTTGGTTGTGACATCCCAGCGGGACCTTCATGTAAACTAATTTTAGCTAGATTGTGAAGTGATGAAGTCTTTGATGTTTTTAGATGATACTACATATAGAAACAAAATTCAAAATGGCATAGATAGAAACTATCTTTGTCTGAAATCAGTCAAGATCCAACCCCCAAAGACAATAAGTAAGAAGCCTCAATTTTGCACAGACATTGCAGACTACTGTATTTACAAAATGTGGAAGTGTAATAGAAGCAAATTTGTTCAGCACAAATTTAGAGCTTTTTTTTTTTTTTCCTGAACGTTATTGGTATTAACCTGAAATAAATGGTATCAGTTTCCTTTTACTGGAGTTAGGAAATATTCCACAATTTCTATGCAGTTCTTTGTGTTATGAAGAACATGAAAATCTGAGAGCCTGTCTTCTAAATCTGTAAGAAATATCTTCATTACTGATTATTAATGGTAGAATTGATTTTCAGGGTATTTTTTCAAGGAGGAAAAACAAAGACAAATTTAAAAAAAAAAATCAGAAGGAGGGTGGTAGACAGCAGCAATATGGTGTGGGTTAGACAATCCCTGTGATTCATGGAAAAGTTAGGGCTCACAGATTAACTGTCATGAGAAAGTGTTTTATTTCTTGTAGAATAGTTCCCATCAACCAGATCATTGCAAGATTAGCACAAAATTTCCCTTATTTAGAAATCAGACAGTTGCAAAATACATAATACTTCATATGAACTTCAATGTTGTTGTTGTTGTTGTTGTTTTATAAATATCACCAGACACACATCTGGGGTTTTAGTGCTTGCCACAGTGTAGTTTTCTGGTTGACATATATCTAAGAAATGCGTATATTAACACCCAGGCTATAGAGCCAAGTACATTTTAGTGCGGGCTACAGCTGAAAGAATATGTTTCCATTCCTTGTCCATCTGTTCTTGGCAACATAAATTTAAACTAGAAACACAGAATAAGTTTCATGAGAAATAAGTCTAAATAGGGTTTAGAACAGCAAGGTGAATGAATCTATGACTTCTTAACATTTGATTTTGTAGCTGGAATGTTGTGTTGACTTGGTGAAATCTCAGCTGCAGCTATAGCTTAAAGTTTAAAAAAAATAATTGGGTTTTTTTGATCAGTTCATTTAAAGAAAAATCCAGTGGCTTGGTCACACTTTCTGTTTTAAGGGTTTATATTTGCCAATGATCATGAGCCTAACAAATTTTGAGATTTCAGAGTGTTTAGTTGCCATACCCTTGAACTACACTAAAATGTATTATCTACTTTTATGAACTCTGTGCTACAGTGGATCCGTAGTGCGGGAAGAGGGTTTCCCATGCAAAATGGAGTTCGTACAGAATACACTTGTTTTTCTGCACGTCCAACCTCAGTTATGACCAGCTTTTACGTTATTATCTTGTAAAATCATCCTGCCCTCCCACTCTGTGCTCCAATCTCCAGCTTGTTCTGCTACTAAAGTAATATTAAACTATTCACATTTGAAAGAAGCATGAGAATGTTAAAATATAAAAGGACCATATATATGCACCTGGAATCTTGCCTCCCTCTCAGGGATCCAGGCACTCTGAGCTCAATAAGTACGCTGTGTAGGGGCTGTGTGTCAGGGCTGGGCTTCGTGGGATTCTCCTGATGTGAGGGCACCCTCTGCCTCTGGCTGAGCCAAAGTCTTCAGATTGGAAAGGGACCTTGAAGCTTATACAGTCCAACCTCTTTCCCTATGTAAGAAGCATTTCTATAATTTTTAAGACTCTCTGTTTTATATGGTTGATTTATCAAGTGCACGGTGCTTATGCATCAAAGTAGTTGGGTTCAGATTTTGGCTCTGTCACTTCCTAGGTGTGTTAATATGAATAAATTAGTTAACTTCTCTAGTGTTCAGCTTCTCTGTCTGTGAATGGGAATAATCATATTTACCCACAGTTTGTTTTAAGGGGAACCAAAGGAGTCCAGCGACAGGCACTTAGTAAACACTCAACAAGCAAGAGCTATTACTATTAGCTTCTTTCTACTGTCCTCTGTTAAAAATCATAATAATAATTGCACTGTGCTAATTATCTAGTGGTGTCCAAATAGTATTTTAGCAGCATATCGTCAGAAAAAAACATTTCAAGAAATTAATATTGTTTCTTGAACTTCTGCACAAAGTCACCCATCACTAAGGACAAGTCACTCAATGATTCAGAGACTCAATCTTCTTATCTCTAAATGAAAGACTCAAATTCCACGATCTCTAGGGTCTTTTGTTCGAGTAATATAACAAAATCATGTTTGACAGCATATCCTCATACTTTATTTATAGTGTTGAAATGTATATTTGCTGCCAAATGTATAAACGTTCCATATATACATGTGGAATAACATTAAGTTTGTTGATGTTAAAAACTACTGGTATATTCTTTGGCATTATTTGGCTCCAAATTCATTCTTCCCATTTTGTTTTAGACCAAGCTGACAGCAGATCTTTTCCCACAGCATCTTGGGGTTTAGTTAAACTGAGAGCTTTAGACGTAGGCCATCTTTTCATTACTTTCAGAATCCAAGACAAGCTTTCTTTGTCAAGTAGCTTTCATTTTTCATCTTCATAATATCTAAGGGCATTAAATTGTGCACATATGGATCTACACTGTAACTTACAAGGCTTCTGTTTTCTTTCAGATCTGAGTGATCAGCTGCTAGAGGTAGTTGGCTTGGAAGGAGCCATGGAGATGGGACAAATATACACGGGACTGAAAAGTGCTGGGCGGCGGCTGGCTCAGTGCTCCTCTGTGGTCATCAGGTAGCTGTTTCTCTGTAATTGAGACAGGGGGTTGAGATGATATAAATAAAAGTTAATTAAAAGTATGCAGGACTCTGATAACAACATTTGTCTTATTTGTGCCTCAAATTATCAATAATTAACACTGATATATTTGAAAATGATGGAAATTGGCAGATTTTACCAAGTTTTGGTTAACTGTTACTTATCAGGTTTATTGGAATTTGATACCCTCGTGTTCAGACCACGGATACAATTCTAACGTACAAATTTCATCTCCACTAACATGATTCCCATACAGTTTAGTTTGCAGAGGCATGGAAGTATCTACCAGGCATAATACCCAATGGAAACACTAGTGAAGCACCATTAACTTAAATTCCTTCATGAACTAAAGTACACCATCATTTCTACAAAATTAAATAATCAATTATTGTAAAGTAAGATCTTATATATTTATTAAATTTAAACCTTTTAAGAAGCATTTTTCCAGAACTTTACCTTTAGGGAAAAAAAAAAAAAGTATTTTTGACCCTAAGGTGAAACCATGGGTCATAGCACAGGTATAATTGGTGTTATTTGTATAAAAATGTTGATATTGGAAAATCTGAGACATCAAATACCTTTCCTTCAGGTCTGAGCTGTAGGTTTTCATGAAAACAAGGAGGCTTTATTTTCAGCTATAGGAATTCTGACTGTATCATTAACCATAAACCCTACATTTTTCTGTTAGTATCCATAATTTGTTTTATATCATCACATTTACCAGGAAGTTCTTCATATTCTTGTTACCAAGGTACCTTTTCAGGGTATTCATTAATAGTCAAGACTTAAAGTCTCCTTCAGAAGAGTTAAATTTAGAGCCAGCTATTGCCATATTTGCATTTTCTGGTCTTATCATCTTATATCTTACGTATAGTCTATTATATAAAATATTTCATTGTTATACTTAAAATGAAATATTTTCCTCCAGGACTAGCAAGTCTCTGCCAATGCAGATCGATGGGGAACCATGGATGCAGACCCCATGCACGGTGAGTACCGAGTAGTTGAAATGCTATATCACTTCATACTTGCTTTTCAGATGTCATGCACTTCTATAACTAACTAATCACATAATCCTATAACTGAAAAATCACAATATTTAAGCTTTGGATCTATTACCAAGTACCTTTTTCTATTTATTATTGATGTGTCAGGACTATTGCATTCAGGTTTGTGGGATTATATGCCCTTGGCAGTGGTTTGACTTTTGAATGTTTGTATTAGTGTAAGTACAACCTTTAGATACCATAGATTGATTATATTTTAAACTCTGGAACTAAAGAAAATTGATAAAATTTTTCTTAATTTTTATTGTACTTATTTCAGAGCACCACGTGAGAAAGTTATTTGTAGGGCCTTCAGACATAAATCTCCCTGAAATTTAACCCATCTGTTTTGTTATTTTTTTACCTCCATTTGGGGATTTGAGGGCATCCTCTCTGTAGAACACTCTCTCTGTTGTTGTTTTCTCCATAATGAGATATTATTTAAGTTAGACATTTAGACCTCCCACAAAATTTCAGTTTACATTTTTTATAGTGAATATTTTATTATATTTCAAAAATATGTTAGGCAATGCCCTTGGTACTAAGAATAGAAACACGATCAGTGATATATATCATGATCAATAATACAACAGGATCAATAATATAATTATCTTCAAGGAACTCTTTGGATAAGACACTAAATGTTAAATATAAACAGATTAATCACAAACGTAACTTCAGATTACAAGAGTTATGAAAACAAGTATGGTGAAATGATAAGGAGGAACAGGGTACAATATGGAGGATACTACTTTAGATTAGTCGACATAGGAGGCCTTTTTTGAAAGAAGAAATAAAAATTCAATATGTTAGACAAACAGTAAGGAGGGTTTTGATGACCGAAACTAGTTTGTAGAGATAGGGGGAGAACAGAAAGAGATAAAGTATAGAAGATGAACAGGAGACAGACCATGTAGAAAAAATGATAGCAAAGAGTTAGCATTTGATTCTGTGTCCATTTGGAAGCTTTTGAAGGCTTTAAGCATCATCTGATTTACATGTTAAAAGGTCACCTTGGCCACTGGGTGGAGATTGGATTGGACTGAGTAGCAGCTGGGAGAGAGTCTATCAGAGTAGTCTGGGCTCAGGCATGGATAGTGACAGGGAAGTAGATGGATTTAAGCAACATTCAAGAGGTGGAACAAGAAGAATTTGCTAATGAGTTCCCTGGGGGCTAAGAGAAAGCCATGAATCCAGGTTACCTCTTACATGTGATTGATGATGTATTTACTGTGTAGTTAAGACTGGGGGGGGGGGGGTAACCAGTTGGGAGTGGCAGAGGAGGTCTTAATCTTAGATTAGTGTAGCATTGTGCTAAGTGCTGGTGTTATATTTAAGTATATTTTAAATTGAGATATAATTAATACACAGCATTGTACTAGTATGTATTAAATATTCACATAAACATTAAATAATGGATATCATCATTTTTCAGATGGAAAAAATGGAGGCTTTGGAAAGTTGAATAACTTACTCAAGGTCAAATACATAGTAGAACTCAAACCCAGGCTCTTTGATTAAGGCCCCTTCTCTTAACCACTAGTTTAAACACATTTAGCTACAGATTCCAAACAGTCCAGCTTAGCATGTAAAATGGAAGTGTTAATTTTACCTTTCCAGTGGTTTTACTCTAAACTTATTATCTTTACTCTTTGTGTACAGCAGATAAATATGATCTTTTGTTTATTCCTGATATATTCTTTTTAGCCACTTTGAACCCCAAGTTTGTGCATCAGTTTATTCTCTAAAAATAATGTAAAAAAAAAAGCCTGTTTAAAAATCTCTGTAGATTGGCTACTTCCTATACTTTCTGCTCTCTTTGTACTTGGTTCCAAATATCCTTAAAAGACTTCCTGTTCTCCCTTTACCAGCATGTATGCACTTGCATCTTGTCTGGTATTCTTCACTCTCCCCACACTTCTAAGGTGGCATTTATACTCACAGAGATGTTAAAGGTGTTGCCACAAGTGATGGTGGCAGTGATGTGCTAAGGTGCTGGTGATGTATGGCTGGTGATGGTGGTCGGGATGAACTGGTGGACATGCTACCACCGATGCTGGTGATGGTAGTTGTGGTGGTAGCGGTGACAGTGGTCGTGATGTGGGATGATAGTGGTGCTGGTAGTAACAGTCTTCTTGTCTTTAATGGAAGGCCAGTTTTCATCAGCTTGCTTCACAAGATAATAGATGAAAAACAGTGAAACACCAAATGCCTTCCACAAGGACTCTGTAATTTTTGGATTCTTTTCAGGGAGAAGGGATGTTTACTCCTTACTCCATGCCTAAAATCCAAAAGAGTTAATAGTCATAATAATAATATCTAACATTTACTAAGCTCTTAATTTATGCCATGTACAGTTTGAGACATTTGACCTGTACTGACCTGTACATTTAATTTTCACAAAAGCCCTATAATTAGTTTCATTTTATAGATAAAGTAACTGAAGCAAAGGTCAAATTGTTTGCTTGATTCCACACAGGTAAAAAGTGTTAGAGTAGAGCGGCACCTGGGTGGTTCAGTGGGATTAAGTGTCCGACTCTTGATTTTGGCTCAGGTCACGATCTCATAATTCATGAGCCCCAGGCTCCTGCTGAGCATACAGCCTGCATGAGATTCTCTCTCCCTCTCTCTCTCTCTCTCTCTCTCTCTCTCTCTCTCTGCCCCTCTCCACTACTCACATGCCCTCCCTCAAAATAAATGAACATTTTTTTTAAGTGGTAGAATAGTAATTAAAACCAGTGAGTGGTCTGGCTCCACTGTCCTCACTCTCCATGGTTATTTCCCATCATGGATCTCAATCCAAAAAGGCCCTACACCACCCTTGTGACTCCCCCTCCAGAGCATGAGGTAAATCACTTACTTTAAAAAGTCTTGGGGCGCCTGGGTGGCTCAGTCGGTTAAGCGTCCGACTTCAGCCAGGTCACGATCTCGCGGTCCGTGAGTTCGAGCCCCGCATCAGGCTCTGGGCTGATGGCTCAGAGCCTGGAGCCTGTTCCGATTCTGTGTCTCCCTCTCTCTCTGCTCCTCCCCCGTTCATGCTCTGTCTCTCTCTGTCCCCAAAATAAATAAACGTTGAAAAAAAAATTTAAAAACAAATAAATAAAATAAAAAGTCTATGTCTGGGGCATCTGGGTGGCTCAGTCGGTTAAGTGTCCGACTTCGGCTCAGGTCATGATCTCGCGGTTCATGAGTTCAAGCCCCGTGTCAGGCTCTGGGCTGATGGCTCAGAGCCTGGAGCCTGTTTCAGATTCTGTGTCTCCCTCTCTCTCTCTGACCCTCCCCTTTCATACTCTGTCTCTCTCTGTCTCAAAAATAAATAAACGTTAAAAAAATATTTAAAAATTAATTAAATAAATAAAAAGTCTATGTCTATGAAAATCTAAATAGTGTTTCAGAATAATTTTAGCTTATTTTACATAGCACGAGCACTTCACAAGATACTTTTGTTAACTTATATTTCAATTACTAACTGGATATTTATTTTGCCTATTAATTATCATGATCTTTACAATTGTTAAATTAATAATAATTTTATATAACTTATATTTAATTTTCTCTCCTTTATTTTTTTTCAAAGTTTATTTATTTATTTTGAGAGACACAGAGACCGCATGAGTGGGGGAGGGGCAGAAAGAGGGAGAGAGAGAGAGAGAGAGAGAGAGAGAGAAAGAGAGAGAGAGAGAGAGAGAGAGAATTCCAAGGAGGCTCTGCACTGTCAGCACAGAGTCCCATCTGAGTGTTGAACTCACGAACTTTGAGCTCATGACCTGAACCAAAACCGAGTTGGATGCTTAACCGACTGAGCCATCCAGGTGCCCCTAATTTTCTCTCCTTTAAACTCTCTTGTTCTTTAATTTTTTTTTAGATTTTTTTTAGTGTTTATGTATTACTGAGACAGAGCATGAGCAGGGGAGGGGCAGAGAGAGAGGAAGACACAGAATCTGAAGCAGGCTCCAGGCTCTGAGCTGTCAGCAGAGTTGGACACAGGGCTCGAACTCACGGACCCCAAGATAATGACCTGAGCCCAAGTCGGATGCTTAACCCAGGCACCCCAAATCTCTTATTCTTTTAGAATATTCCATTCTTTAGTGGGCCAAGAGCTGTACTAGACTATGGCTCATTTTTGTCATTTCATATTCTGGCATATTCTACTTTTTCTAGAACCACATGGAGTTCTGAACTTTAAATTTCACTTTAAATGAAGAGACTATTTAAATAGTCTTCATAGCATTGGTATGGTTTAACTAAAGAGTCTTCTTTGTTTCAATTGAATAACAAAATGTTTTTCATACAGAACATAAAAATTGATAGAATGTAAAAACTCTTTGATGATTGAGCTGATATTTAATTTATGAAGGATTTGCTCTAGATATATAGAGCACAGCAGAAGTCTGGTTTTCTCTAAGTGGAATATATAAAATGGAAAGGCAGGTGATAAATGGGTCTTGATTCTGATTTTAATGATATATTTTTTTTTAAAAATCAAAGTAATACAAGGTCTGCGGATAAGCGGTGGTGGTGGTTCTACAGCAAAGGGAAAGTACATAATGCCATCAAACTGTATACTTTAAAAATGGTGAAAATGTGAAATTTTCTGTTACCTACATTTTACCACAATAAGAAGAGAATTAAAAAAAATAATATAATATTTGCTTAGAAATTTCACCAGTCCAGAATTAAAGTATCAGGAAAAGCAAAACTAAGAAAGCTTAAAACTAAAGCTTTTCCACTATATACTTAATAATTACATTTATGACCTTTTAAAATATCTCACTATAAAGTAGTCATTAGAAATGTGTCAAATACTCCTCAGTTCACAGTTTTATAATAGTCACTAACAGAGTATGGATTCTAGCCATATAACAATCGGCCATGTTCACAAGCCTATCAAACTGAAGAGACAGTTAGTTTCAGAACACTTTGTATTGAAATAGTTCCAGAAG